TGAAGTACTACAACTATTTTGAGCTCCCCTGTACACCTGTTCATTTTTGACTTGATCTTTCGGGACACCTTGTATATCAGAAATCTAGGAATCTAACTCCACCGAATATTGTCTATGAAGTTGGATATTTTTTGCATATCTGGATTTCTGGTATCGAAACATATTGTTTGAGTTCATTTGATATGATTAAAAAAATTTAATATCTACCGTAAATCTTGCAGGGTACGATAATTTAAATTAAAACCTAATTCTCAAGAAGCATAGTAAAAAATCCTAATTTTAGCATAATTAACATTACCGTAAAATAAATTAACGGATATGTCACAAACATGAAAGGAAACTATTTTCTTAGATTGTTATAAGCACGATTCTAAAATCGAAAAAAATATTCCTAAATGTAAAATAATAAAAATTGCAGAAAGGTTTATTTAAACATTTTTAGCTGTAAATACTCGTTTTTGCTAAATATTCACTATTTAAAAGTACAAGTGCATGTAATTTCAATACTTCTCAAAGAAAAATCCGGAATTTGTAAAAGTTCTCAACAATGCCCCGACAGCAGACGACTCGGTTCATGAATTTTAAGCCATTGTCTCCATATTTATTCAAATGAACTCTAAAAGCGTTACATCTTCTACAACTTTTGATTTAAAGTTCAAAGAATAGAATATAAATGCACTTCAAGCTCGTAAACAGCACTTTAATAAATAGGCATTCAGTTCTTAGAGGTAGGTACATGTACTAATGAATTTCAACAAAACGGTCTCGGCTTTGATATTAAAAAACAAATCGGGATAGAGCGTAAGACAAATCTTTTTATAAGAGATCGACGTCGTTCGTTCCTAGGCAGCTGTAAGGAGACATAAATTGAAACGTCCTTTATTGAAGTTTCTCAAGATAGTTTTGTTCTTCTTCCCTTCGTCTCACATAGAAATAAATTTATTTAATCTTTACGTACGTGAAAAGTAAAACATATAAATAGACCCTCCATCTCCACTTCATCATTATAGACTTTTTCATCGAAAGTCGCAAGCTTCCGGCCAATTTTTCAAAATTTTATTTAGAAATTTTCTTCCGCCAATTTGGTACTTTAATTTCACATTCAAATTTCACACGTTTAGAATAGTACCAAGTTAATAAGATGAAAATAACTAGAAAGAACCAGGGTTCTCAAACGCCTCATTACCAAGCTTATTCAAGCTTAAAAATGAATTAAACAAAATTATTCATATGATTTATTATATTAGCTTAATACCTTTATAGTAAGGTAAAACTTGTGTATTTGTTTGACCTGATCAGGTCTGAGTTAAGGTCAGTTCAAGGTGAAATGTAGAGAATCAGTTGTCAACAAAGTAAACCTATATATCTATACATTTTTGGTCGTTGAATCCGAATCCGGTGTCCATTTGACCCGGTCCGGTTTACCAAATACTCTTAAGTTCTAAACTCAATGAATGTTAATTGTTTCGACCAAGTACCAAAAAACCTAGGTAAGTAAGTTTTGTACCAATGTGTCGGTTAATGCTGCATGTATGTATGTAGTGAGTCTCGACTGAGATTCTTGAGAACAGTTTTTCAAGATAAGACGTTTTTTACCTTGATGAAACACATGCAATCACTATATCTCACTATTATGGTATCGTGATTACTATTCACTTTTGTGGTATTGAACTATTTTGTTGTAAAAAGATCTGCGAAGTGGATTTCTTTTACATGTTCTAGATTTCAATGGTAAATCTCATTTTAGCGACTAGCAGTAATCGGCTAACACGTTTATATCCCGTCTGCCTTGGTACCATTTCCTTAATATTTTGGTGACATTTTTTCCCCGCTCCTCACTGTTGTCACCCAAATTTTCTGAGAAGTAATCCACGTGACAATGTAAAAAATGTAATTTGGGATTCATTAAGCACATTCACATTCGACAGTATTTCTTTATAGTTTGGACTCTTTCGATTTCCTAGAAAATTTTTGATTAGGTCCTTAAAACATAATTATGCTGCTTTCTCGTTTTCACTCATTTTAGTAACAAATATGCGATCCTTTAATATCTTACGGATCTGAGGTCCATCAAAAATCTCCTCTAGCAAACCACTTAAATTAGTGAATTGATCTCCGAGATATATAAGGCATCGACGGCCTTTGTTTCTCTAGGAGGCCAGACACTCTTCATGTAATGGTTTTTTCGATCCCGACTATCCCTTTCACATAAAAAACAAGAGGTTTCTGTGAATCCCGATTTCCCGAGGTCCACACTTTGCCATTTATGTTATTCGCATTTGATCCTATCTAAGACTATCCATATCTTTCAATATCACCAAATTTGCTACAAGTGTGGCTGTATAAACATTTGTATTATGCAGTAGAATCTCTATGAAGAATCAATGAACAGCTTCCACTCGTTAGGTTTATGACATCCATGTTTGAAGTGATTCATCAATCCAACGATATCATTGCAGTAAACTAAGGAGAATTCTTCATCGTTAGAGAAATATTTAGGAAATTCCTTATATCTGTCCCGAAAGTAAGAAGCTTTCACTTTTCTGGCCTACTTAGTATTTTTTAGCCATGTCTGCTCTATCCTTTACCAGGCCCAAATCTTGAACAAGATTATTTAATTTTTCTTGGAATATTGTTCCTGTCTTTTTCACAACGTGATGTGGACTATATTCGTCATCACTAATATCACTAGCACTATTAGCGATACTTTCGTTGTTACCTAGATTTTTTTCTTCTTCCTTCATATCTTGGTGAAATCTTTCTCCCTGCTCCACAAACACAAACAAATTGGGAATCAAAACCAAACAAATTTTAATAGGCATCTTTCATTTGTTGATTTTTCTTCGATTCTTGCATCGTCGGAGTATATTTTCTTTGACTTATCGAAGAAATCTTGATCACCTAGTATCTGCTGGGTGAAGGCATTTGTGCCATCACGGTAGACACAGGAGAACCTGTTAAGATGCAGGGATTTGGAACCACAGTATAGGAGGCAATTGTTCAGGGTTCAGGTTTAGTAACTTTAATACGCATATATGCTTAATTTAAATATTTTGAGTTTAGAACTTGAGTATCTAACAACTTGATCGGTTGAAACTAACCCCGGATTCGAATTCAGACTCCAAAAACTATAGGTTTACTTTATTGGCAATTGATTGTCTACATTTGACTTTGAACTGACTGTAACACAGACCTGATCAGGTCAATTGGACACCGGATTCACATTCATCGACCTCAGAAACTTATAAATATGTAAGTTTGCTTTGTTAGCAATTGATTTTCAACATTTAACCTTGAACAGACCTTAACTCAGATCTGATTGGGTCAAACAGACACCAGATTCGGATTCAGCGACGGCAAAAATATATAGATACCATGATCTTGTCTCCCACTTCGTGTAGAATATATTGAATATATGATCTTCAAGTTGCTACATCTTCTTAAGGAGTCGGAATTAACTACTACTTCATTTGATTCATTTTTTCTTGTTAATTTTGACCAAAGAACGTCCTGCTAAAGTTTGCAGTCGAACCCCTGTTTATTGCGCATTTAATATTGTTGCACTATTTAAGTATTTAGCTTTTTTTCAAGTATTTTTTTAAAAATTTATTTCTCAAAATTAAATCAGTAAAATAAAAAAATTGAAGTTAGTAGAAGTTACTAGAAAGTTAAAGCAAATGCAATGTTGTGTAAAAATAAACCATTGAAGTGTATTCCTAATTAATAATATACCGATTTATTATTTCCAAGTAATCTTTAATTAATTTTTATACAAAAGGCACAAATTAAGAAAGAGCAAAACCAGCTTCTAGTTCCCAAGAGGCAGGCAATTAGGGGGGAGCCAATTAGCGTAAGCAAAAAAGTTTTCGATAACGATAAGGCGAATGTCAAGAAGGTTGAATTGAACAAATTAGATTTGTTAGACGCGTGGGTACGTAATGATACCGACGATTCGTTAACTTGCTTGTAGAAGACGCCATGTTTTTATCTGCCAATTTCAAATAATTGAAGTCGTTTAAATTACTGATGGTTTCTGTTAGATAAAACTGTGGAATGTAAATGAATGGTTTTTATTGAAAATGTTATAGTTACAGTTTATAAGTTTTACAAGTAAAAAAATTGTAATTGAGAATATTAATGCATTATTTTAAAAACGAAGTCAAAATATAGATTTAAAAAAAGCAAAAGTTTAGTTTATTTCTTCGAAATGCAAGAAAATTTAATAAACCAAGCAAGGTTATAGTGTTTCCGAAGTTTTTGTACATGCAAAAAACGTCTGGTAATAAAATTTATGAGCTTCATAGGCGTCCCTAAAAAAATTTTCTGCTTAGCTAAAGGTAAAAAATTATAATAATTTGTATATAGTGTGTATAAAATTTCTATTATATGTTCATTTGGCCAACAACATATTTTAATTATTTATGTCCTCAATTTTATTATATTGGTGGTAAATTTCGTTTTGTTCCGTTTCAAAAGGTCTCCAAAATGCCATGTTGTAATAATATTAGTAAACAAAATATCCCTCTTATTTCTCCCTTTCGCAATTGTAATATGAATGATTCATAGAAGGTGCCTATAATAAATTAGAATTACCTGAATCACACCAAATTCCGCATTGCTGCACTGCACTGCTGGGCAATTTATCAACCACTTGTCATCTGTTGTGATTTATTGCCCAGTAGCCCAATGCAACTGTAATCGTTTTCCTTTGCCAGCGCCCACATTCTTCAACTGAGCGTATACATTTCTATCGCCTCCACGTTTAGTTCGACCAGACCTGTATATGGGTATGGCTAAATAAATACGGGAACAAGATTTTCAAATATTTCAAAGTCGAGTTGCTGCGTCAGCGGCGGAACCTGGTACATACTATCAATATGTTGGTTCTTCAATTGGTATCGGAAAAACTATACATTGCGTGTTTGTTGATATACTCAGAATATTATTTTTCTTAGTTGTTCTTTTAAACTATTTATGTACAGTATCTATTGTGTTTTCAGAGGCAAGTTAAGCAGTGGCTCATACTGCGACCGACTGCTGGAAGGCTGCTCCAGAAGGTTGTGCCGCATCCAGTCCCCCAACTACCCGGGGATATATCCCAGGAACGTCAGCTGCCACTACAGAGTTCGGGAGCGGAACGTTCCCCCGGGAAAGCACGCCCTAATTGCCGTCAGGCAAGCCAATTTTCATTACAAGGAGCATGTGAGCAAGTTTGATAACAGCGACAGGGTCTTGAGGTGAGCAGCCAGGAAGTTCGGTAATTTGTCAGGTGGTTTGTTTGCTTTTCATAATTTGTTTCCCGATGAGGTTTCTTACAGAGTTAGTTAATTAAAACAGGGGTCGTCAACTCCTCAGACAGGCACTCAGACAGTGTTGACAATAACAGTAACAGACCTGTGGTAGAGTAAATCGCTATTTTAAGATTGCCTCTTTCCGTAAAGGGTTTCAAAATAAAAAATATTTTAATATAAAATTTTCATCAAAAGTTAACAGCTCAAAGGTTGAACTACAAGTTCATCGATTTTAGAAATTAAATATTCCTTTGATCTAAATAAGTTTACTTTAAAGGCATTAAATTAACTCAAATTAATTCAAAAGGCATAAAATCTCATCAAATGAAGTTATACAGGTATTCCTTTTTACTGGAAGCAGTGTATAGTGTATATAGGGTATAACTTTAAGTGGGGGTCATAATTACACAGAGGCTACCTTTGACCTTTAGAAACACGTATCAATAGTTTATTTTTCAAATTCCGTCTTGAAAACTTTTTTTAAATCTTTTTTAAATAATTTTGCTACTCCGCCTCTGGACAAGCTAGTATGATCTCAAACAACGGCGCTTGTTAGTCGCAGCGCATGCACAACTGACGACTGGGCTGTGCATAGTTGCCAAATCTCATAATCTAACGAAAAGATTATTAAAAAGCAAATTTCGTATCACCCGCCGTGAGATATTGCTCTTTGGGATAATCCATCTGATATCGTCTTCTTGCAGTAGAATCATATCAGCTCTTTCTTGATTAATATCACTTGCAAACTTGAAAAAAGAAAACATAATACACTGTACCGTCACTAAACACTAAAATAAATAACTTTATAATGTTATACACTTACACCAAACAAGAGTACTATATGAGAACAGCTTTTCACAGAATGATATAGTCGGAAACTAAATGAGAACGATATATTTGGACAATCCCGTTCCTCCGAATTAACGTGGCAGTTTGTTTTTAACGAGTTTACTCGTCATATCAGAACATCTGCAACATTGACATGTAAACAGAACAAGGAGGCTTTCCTCCGTTGCACCTCCTCCCCTACGTAAGGGTATTTCTTACATACGCGTCAACTTTAGGTCAGTGTTGCAGGTCATTGAGACTGACATTCCGAAGTAAAATATGCGTTGCTTAAAATAACAGTAATACATAAATGTTTGTAAATACTTGAAGCGATTAAAAAATGTTTTCATATTAATTAGATTAGTATTTTCATTTATTTTTTATTGTTATTTTTTTTAAGCAGCTAAAATAAGTATTTTAAAATTAGTTTTATTTACAATTAATAGCATATTTTTACATACCAATAAATAAATAATAAATCATGTAAAAATAAAAAAAAATTAAAAACTATTTTTCATTAGTTTCTCTGTGTGGCAGTTGATTAAAAGAAATATATGTATTTGCAATTAGTAACGTATTTACGTACCAATAATAGTTAATATTTAATAAATCATGTAAATCTATTTTTACTTAGAAACAGATTTTTTTACAAGTTCGGCTCTTCTACCACAATGATATAAAAAAAATGTGATGATTCTAAAATAACAAGTCCGTAAATTATACAAAAACAACTTGCTAAATTATTTGTTAACTTCGCATAATGTAGTTGGTAAGCCACTGGCAACGCTGGCAGTGAGGAATACAACTTCAGGTCAGTGACGGCGTACACAAGAATTAAAGCACAGTTTAAAAAAGTAATTATAACTCGAGTATTTATTTAATTAAAAAAAATAATTTCAGATTCGTATTAAGGGAAACATACTATTGCTCGTAAAAAACTGACCCCTCACTTACAGGTGACACCCTGTATTCAGAGTGTCCCGAAATTAGGGGGCAATATTTCTACAGTGTGTTCTATGTCAAAAAGATTACTTTTTATATAAACGTGGGTCCAAAAATTCTTCCTAAGGAAGTTATAGCAACTTAAAGTTTTTTTTTCTAAATAACTCCGAAACCAGTTAAGATAAATTTATGAAATTTCGTAACTAGCTTAACTCTTACGTACTTAGTCCGCTACTGAAACGAAATTTGCAAATTTTCATCACATAAGTTCCAAATCTGGGGGGAGGGGGGTAAAATTTACCATAACTTTTTTATGCTTTGACATTTTTGACTTTTGCCTGAAAAGTATGAAATTACAGTATGAGTTTTTTAGTAAAAAAAGGTCCTCTTGGTCCATATTGGTAGAATGTTCAATTTTTGTGTAAAATCCGTTTAAAAATAATGTTACATGTGTTAATCACCGGGAATCGAAATTGTCAATATTTTCTATCGTACCGAATTGTGAAGAACGAAAACGGGTTTGGCGTCATTTGCATTGACAGTTCAGTTATTTACTTTTTGCGAATTATTATTTTCACAGCAATTTATTATTTTTAGTAAATTATTATTTGACTAAGTAAAAAAACAATTGAAATTATTAAATAGTAATAAAATAAACTAATAAAAATAATTGAAAACTTTCTTTATCTCAATAGTAATTTTTAACGGTGTATCATCCAATAGTTCTCTTACATCATTTTACAGAAAATTTAAGTATCCTTCGGCATTCAGACAAACGGGAAACTGAATTAGTCCAGTAGCTGGTCCTCTAAAATTCATGTCCACACATTTATTGCAAATCTATTTTCAAAATTTGTGCGCCGTGTTGCCCGTGGATTTTTCGTCTGACCAGAAATGGGTATTATGATTATCTGCTATCCCTAAATTCGTAAAATGTTTTCGACTGATAACAATTCGCAAAAAGTAAAGAACTGAACTGCCAATGCAAATGACGCCAAACGCATTTTTCTTATTCAAAAGCTGCGATGGTAAAAAATATTGACAATTTCGATTCTCGGTGTTTAACACATGTAACATTGTTTTTAAACTTATTTTACACACAAATGGAACATTCTACTAATTGAACCAAGAATACCTTTTTTACTAAAAAACTCTGAAATTTCGTACTCTTCAGTCAAAAGTCAAGGCATAAAAAAGTTAGGGTAAATTTTGTCGTTAGGAGTCGTATAGGGTTTTCTTTGTTCTCTATCATTTGTTTATTTTTCTATTTTTGCTTTGAGTTTGTAGCCCAGTCGGGTTGTCATTTAACCGGGAAAAAATTAGGGACCACAATTTTATTGTTCTAACCTTCAGGGGGGGGGGGTCAATAGTAGTGTAAATTCAAAATCGCGACTGAATTCCACCCCTGCGTCAGCCGCCATCTTAAATTTAAGGAAATATCGTTTTTGCTCAATATCTCGGCCAGATAATTCAATAATTATACTTTGTCACTATTTTCCCCCTTAACTTGAAAAATATCGATCGCACGATAAAATTTGTAAATAAAGAAGTTGTAGAAAATCGCATTTGCTACAACTTAAGTCCTTACCATTTTTGTTGTAAAGTTGAAAATGGCCGAGATATTGAGCAAAAACAATTCCTTTGAAACCAACACCCGCAAGGTCCTTAAATATTGGTAGTAGCGAAAAAATCAAAGAGATCAAAATTGTAGAAAATATAATTATTTCCAACTTTGTTTATGTACATTTATGTCGTATAGTCAATAATAAACGAGATAATTCAACAATTATACTTTGTCACTATTTTCCCCCTTAACTTGAAAAATATCGATCGCACGATCAAATTTGTAATAAAAGAAGTTGTAGGAAATCGTATTTTCAACAACTTAAGCCCTTACCATTTTTGTTGTAAAGTTGAAAATGGTCGAGATATTGAGCAAAAACGATTTTTCCTTAAAATCAAGATGGCGGCTGACGCAGGGTTGGAATTCAGTCGCGATTTTGAATTTACACTAGTATTGACCCCCCCCTAAAGGTTAGAACAATAAAATTGAGGTCCCTAATTTTTTCCCGGTTAAGCCCTTTTTTTGTCTAACCCGACTGGAGTATTGACTAAGAGTGTGTTTTGTCGATTATTGACATCAAAATGAGTATCACTACCAAAGTATACATCTTCGCACTCGAGTTTTTTTGTGTGCCGATATTTTGGTTCTTAACGTCATGCACCGGAACACCATACAGGGTGTCCCAAACTCCTATGGACCTACTGTGAGGATACACAAAATGTAAATAAAATTTGGGACAGGTGGTGTTAAATGGGATGAGGTAAGCTCCATTTTCAATCGAAAATATTTTTGGGATTTGACAGAAACGACTAATGACGTCATCAATTATATTTTTTCCCAAAACATACCCAATTTTTTCCAGTTAGAAAGCTCTCCTTTTTCTAATAAAATTTTATTAGAGACATTTTCCTGTATTACTTCCCGTTTAAAAGTTATAAGCAATATCGCCCTAAAGAGTCTCAAAATAAATACTTACCACTTAAAAATCATATTAGCGGTGGAAGGATCAAGTAGTCGTTGGAAAATAATCGAATGTTCGTTGTTTAAAGTGCATAAATGTCATTAAGAATATATAAAAGGATTAAACTCTATAATTATTTACTACAGTTAAAACAAAAGGTGATAACAACAAGTAAACTTAAAAAATAAGACAAACGCTTTCATACTACATACAAATTACAATCTATTCTCTATATGACCTCTCATTTCAATATCCAATCCTTGCCTGACTTCTTTGTGGGCTGCGTTTATTAACATTTCACCGTTTAACTCATTACAAGCGTTTGTAATTTTTTCTTTCAAATGATTAATATCTTGCGAAGGTGTTTTGTAAACCTTATTTTATAAAACCCCCCATAAAAAAATTAAGGGGTGTTAGATCTGGTGGCTTTCCGGGCCACTGAATAGGTTCATTAAGCTCAATCCATTTTTCTGGGCAAGTGTTATCTAAATATCGCTGCACAATCCTGACCTTGTAGGGTGGAGCCCCGTCGTGCTGAAACCATAGGTTTCTCCTTAGTTGCAAAGGCACATTCTCCAGAAGTGCAGGAAGTTCTTCTTGTAGGAAATGTAGGTAACTCGCGCTGTTGAATGTATGTTCATAAAAATAAGG